TTATAAGAATACACTATTTTAGTCAAAAATACATCGCGTTTTATTTCAAATGTAACCTTGATATTTACCGTTTGACAATTTGCGTCGAAGTTTGTGCCTTTCTCTGCGTCTTTGAGTTTATTTAAATTACTAAAAATTTAAGTGCGCTGTTTTTGATTGCAAAAATTACACTGAAAAAGGTAATTAAGGTTTTACCGTATGTTTAAAGATGAATTGCATTTTCGGTAGCGAATTGATTTTATATCAAAAATGCCCGTTTTATTAGGATTCCCAAAATATGCTATACGGCAACTATATTTTCTGCGTTTTGTAAACTCTCCTTCTTCGTAAAATATTTCAGCCAATCAGAACTCATTTTGCAACTACGTCATTGGAGGAAAACAAATTTTTGACAGCACCATGTCGTAACCTTCTATTCTATGAACCTTGTACAACACGTATAGAAATGTATAATTGGGTGTGACTTTTACTTTAATTTATCTTTTAAGTTTTTTGATAGTATTATCATGGAAGTTTCGTTTTATGAAAATGTGTGTGTATGCATCTATGAAATTTAATATTGTTTTGGTGTTCTATTCTATTAATATCCGGACTTATTTTGGAGTCAGAAAAGTCTCAGGATACCCAATTTTTCTAAAAATTCTAAATAAAAAGCTGGGAATTTTTGGGTGCAAATGCTGAAGTTTGTTGAATTTTCATCATTATTGTACAAGTTTGAAATGTAGATCTACATATATGGCACTGGTTAGGTAAAGTGCTAAACTTCTATAAAAAAAAATATAAAAATTTCGGGGCATCCCTCTATCAAATGAATTCAAGAATCATGAGATGCTCGTATAAATGTACATAAATTCGTTAGGGTTGAAAATTCGCATGTGAGGAACTCTAAATTTTCCTGCAGGGTTGGTTCAATTGGTGGCACAGTGTATATGCGAAACATAATAGGATGCGCGATGAAAGACGATCAACATGACTAGCAAAATTCAAAGGCATTGAAAAAGAAAAAGGCACACCAAACAAAAAATTAAAAAGTACATTATTATAAAAAAGCAAATTTCGCGACCGGCTGTCGAGAAATACAAACCAACATATACATGCATACATATGTATGACATGTGGTTAATATTCTGTTCTCACTTTGCAACTTAGAGAAAAGCTCTGGCAATACAAATAATACTATAGGCAAAGCGAATAAAACGAAAATAACCAAGAAACGTATTTTCTCGATGTTTTTTTTGTACGCTTCCTGTACTGAATCCAATCCAAGATTGCGGCTACAAAAATCTGATTTCGATTTCAAGTGGGGGCGGGAGCAGCCCAAAATTAAAAAAGGAAAAAGTAAATTCAGATAGCCGTTCAGGAAATTTTATAATAAGATATTTAAATATAAGGAAATAAACGTTCAAGTGATTGTTAATATGTAGATTAATATAAACATGCACCTACTACATTATATGTATACATAAATATTTATTAATACTTATATACCCATATATACTATAAACACTTGTAGTTAAAATAACAAAAATGCGCATTGTACTTACCCCTGTATAAAGAATCTCCGGTTCAATATGTGGATCTGGCACCAGACTGGAATATTTGGCTACCGCTCCATTCAAAGCACCAGCAAGTGATTTGCCGGACGACATTAGCGCGTTACTTCTCAACAAACGCAACATTTTCTTAAGCTACTTTACACTTTTTAAGCACAAAAAGAAACTAAAGAATTAGGTAAGACTTAATGCGTCTGTTTAGAAACGTCAAATAATTTATTCTTTCGATTGTGCGAATTATTTTCTCGTTTCCAATTGCTTTCGCAAGCACACTTAACCGTTTGCTTTGAGGCGCTTTAAGCAACTGATGGTCGAGGAGGTGGTGCCTCACATAAGTATGCACATATATTTTTGATATTCGGGCGGAGAAGTTCGACCGGGTGAGTAGTTGGGGGGATGATAGGTAAAACTCATGGCAATGGCTGATAGTGACAGCTGTTTTGAACTCGGCTGGGTACAGTTGTCATGGAGCTTTTTTTTAATGGGAACACTGGTGATGAGACGTTACTATTTGGATTTTTGACTGAAAGCTTTTAAGTGTAATTCTATAATTCTACTAGCCAATGTACACTTGCTAGCCGGCGTCTGATAAGAGCTTACGAAAAATTATTAGTTTAGGTCGAAACGACTAAAGAGCTGAACCCTCTTCAGACATAGGCCCGAATATTAGCGCTGTGATAGCACCGTGCGTCAGTCAATTTTACACACGAAAAAAAATCAATATATTCACAAAACTGGGGCCAAATATAGTAAAACTGCGATTTTAGTTTTTCTCTAGTAGTTCTCTCTGACGTCAGGATTTTTTTTAAAAGGACTTTGAAGTTTCTAGAATATGATTGAATAAAAAAATTATTCAAAAGATGGGGTGCATTGTAGAATAACAATAAGGATATCAATTGAAAGGAAAAATTATGTAGAATGGAAAAAAATTGTATTTTTGGGTGCACCAGGACGAATAAGTATTGAAAATGTCGTTTTAAAACTTTATCGTTGAATATCCTTGGAAATTTCCAATATTTATTTTTGAAAAAAATATATGTCAAGGACTAATATGTTAACTACCACATCCTCGAATTTCGTCCTTCTAACTTTATTAGTTTTATTTGTTTTTTTGTTATTTTTTGGCCTTTATAACAATTATATTCAACAATTTATATTGAGCTCGAGGCCGTCTTTTAAATGAAAATTTTTATTGTGGAAAAGCAACAATAATTTGAAAAAATGGTAGAAGTGATAGCTATTTCGGAAATCACCACATTTCCTCATCAGACTTCTTTCAGTAGGATTCGAACCGACGATCCCACTGACTCAGCCAGTTGCCTATGCACCGTGCTAAGTACGTCTTGTAAATTATCGTTTGCTTTTTTCCACTATTTTCTTTTTTCTTTTTTGTTATGCCAACACAATCAAGCGCATCTATTCCGCTGCAATTCACTTGATCATGTGGTTGTTGGTATTGTTGGTTTTTTGCTAATAATTCTATTTTTAGAATGTTTACCTTTTTTTAGGTGTGCTCGTCCTTAAGTTATTTGTAAATAAATTAATAAATGAAATAGCTATCACTTCTACCATTTTTTAAAATTATTGTTGCTTTTCCACAATAAAAAAATTTTCATTTAAAAAACGGCCTCGAGCTCAATAGAAATTGGTGAATTTATTAGTTTTAGATAGAAAGAATTTACACTTCTCTTTATAAGATATTGATAGTTACAATACATGTACATAATTGAAGATACTGGAATCATTTATTATGGAACCATGTATGCGCTCTAAAAGAGCAAACTGACCGTATGATATACCTATGGTTTAAATACTATAATTGTTTTGTATACAAGGGCGTAGCCAGCCTTTCATCTAGGGGGCAGGAGTTTATATAGAGGGAAAAAATGTTTTTATATATATATATTTTTTTTTTGTGTATACGAAATTTTTGGATTTAAGAAAGTATAAGTTTTCTGGTAGCCTTTTTAAAAATCGGTTAGTAATTTTTTTGTTTAAAATATTTTTCTTTATAAAAAAAGGTATTTTATGCATTCAAGTGTTTTTTTCTCAAATTGTTATACACGAAGTATACAAATATGCTCAATAAAATGTTGCAATATTTTCACCTGGAGAATTGTCATCTTTTAAATTCTGTCCAAAAAAGTCTTGTGACGTGGAGCGTTCGTTTGCAATACATATATGTATGTATGTATGTACAAAAACTTTTTATGCGATAATCGCGAAAAAATTTTCGTTAAGCATATTTTTAATATTTTGGAGTCATTTTAATGATAATGTAATTAGGTTTTTGTGCATATTTTTGTCTTCCCTAATCATCAATCCACTGACTGATGCAATACCAATGCGTAATTGTGAAATTATATTTTAAGTAAAAAATTTTAAAAGTTATTAATAATATTGAATCATTGGAATAAACGGTCAGTTAGTCAGTGAAAGAAGCTGAATACACAAGCTGAGTCTCGGGGTAGGCTATTGTATTTTTAAAAACGTTTTCCGTTGCTTATGTTGGTGTTCGAACGACAATATTTAGTTGATCTCGATCTCCTTTTGTTTTCCCAGTTGAAGTTTGCGTGACTGCCGGCTGTGCCAATCTATGTATATCGTGTTTAACCAACTCAAATTCAATACTTTATACGATTGAATTAAAGTTGTATAAGTTGTGTAAACATAAATTTCGAGACCTCTTATTTAAAATTAAAAATGTTTCGTAAGTTGCTCGCGACGCGTTAAGCTTGCCATAATACGGATGCTCCCAGGTCCAAGGGAGGCGGCCTACTACTCGCAAATCATTCCAACATCCAACTAGTGCACGCCTACGTTCGCCCCGCTAACACCCTTTGCGACAACGCCTGCTTGTAGCTGTCGGCCAATCCACCAGCCACCTGACAATACGCCAATCGCCTGCCAGTGCACGAGCCGCCTGCCGATTGATCAGCTTCCAGCCGCCTGCAAATCCACTGGATGTCCATAAATTCACTAGCCGCCTACATCCTGTCCACCCACACGACCTCCAGTCACCAGACTTCTATCTGAGTGCAGCCTCAACTAAAAGTACAGCCAAGGCGGCTGTAAATGGAATTCAATAGAAAAATCTATAGTCCATTTTCTGGGTGTAATAAAGCACGCTACGTTTGATACTACGATTTTTCTACTGGCATGCTGCCTACAAGCGATCATATTTAATAAACTGTGTAAGTATGTACATATTTTGTATTGCAATTGATCGCTAGCGTGGAAAACATGTACTATAACTTACGAACAAAATATCGCATTCGCTATGTACACACATCCATATTTTTATCGCGACAAGTTTATCTGTGAAGCTTTAATGTATATATTTCTAATATCTAATCAAAAACACAATTCACTTGTAATATTTCTGTACTCGGGAAATCATCCAGGCAGTGTCTACAGCATTTAAAACTATTTCTGGCGTAAACGAAGTCGTGAAAAAAAAACGAAAATGACCACGCCCACGATAGATATACGCCCACTAACACCTGCGCTACAACGAAAAGCAATTGCCGAATTAAATGAGGTGCCCGAACGTCGGGCCGTGGACATCGCTGCATTGAGAGAATGGTTGCTAAGGCAACCACATTTAAAGTGCCGCATGAGCGATCAATTTCTTGTAAGCTTCCTGCGTGGCTGCAAATTTAGTCTGGAGAAGGCGAAACGAAAACTGGATCAATACTATACTTTGCGTACGGCCATGCCCGATTTGAATCAACACAACTTTGTGGATGATCAACGGCTGCGCGCCATTATACGTTTGGGGTAAGCGAAAATTACATATCCTTTACCTAGTATAATCGTACAAATTCCATATAAAATCTGCAGCGTTACGCTTTACTTGCCGCTACCGCTAATGGAGGATGGCCCATCCTTAGTGTTAATGCGCCCTGGCAAATACGACCCCAACAAATTCAATATGACTGAAATATTGCGCGCCAGCTTCATACTGCAAGATATCTTTTTGATAAGCAATGATAATTTGATTGTGGGTGGTTTTATGCAAATCGGCGACTTTGAGGACTTCACCATGGCACATTTCGTTCAAATGAGTCCAACACTTATGAAGCGCTTTAGCTTGTATGCCGAAGAGGGTATGCCGATGCGCATTAAAAATTCACATTTTTTCAATACTGGCGCCGTATTCGAGAAAATGTTTGCCGCTGTTAAATTGGTGATGCCAGCGAAGATGGTCGAAAGGGTGAGTTTGGGAGGGTAATGGGGATTTTTGAGCATAATTTAGTTTTCCATTTTTTGTGGGTTGATACGAGGTAAAGTTACAGCCTTATTTTAAATCGTATTCTGTTCATTTATTTCTTTTAGTTCAGAAGTTATATTGGGCTCAAAAATAGGCGCTTATTTTGGGTGTTTTTGGGGTCCCTCCTTTTACTGTAGAATGGCTTTTGACTTTCGTTATTAAAGTTATTCCCCAATAAATTACGGATAATTGAGTATCTTTAGAATGCTCCCATAGAAGCTTTTGATTTTAAGTTTAAATTACTTGATTATGATGACAGAATACATATTAAAAAAAAAAAACATCGGATGGCGCAAACACTTTTTGGTTAAAACTTGTTCCAGTGAGTGCATGGTGTTTTTTTTTAATATTTGCAATGTTTTTAAAACTAAAAATTTTTTGTTATTTTTTTATAAAAATATGGTCCATGGTTTAATCAAAGCCATACAAGCAAAATTTTCAAACTTTATACAGAACTTAGAAAAATTCACCGAATTTTCGTCTAAATTTTGAACTTTTTGATCTGAATTTTAAAAAAAAATTTCGGTACGCAGATAGATCGGCTATGTCATTCAGTGCAACAAGTGCAAGTTTTAAGCAGCTAAAAGATCGCGTTGCTTTTTAATGAATTTTTTTTTCGACGGATTTTGCGGTTTTATGCATATAACAATTGCAATTTATAAAATCTAGCGTTTTTTTTAATTTTGTTTGCAAACGGTCATGTGCATTTTATTGTACAAAAATTCCTTTTTATATGGTAAAAAGTGCAAAAATCCGTCAGCAATAAAAAATCAATAAATATCAACGCGATTTTATAGCCGCTTAAAACTTGCATTTGGTTTACTAGAATTGAAAAACTGATCTATCTGCGTATGCAATATTTTTGTTTTTTACACAGATTAAAAAGTGCAAAATTTAGACGAAATTTCGTTGAATTTTTCTAAATTCTGTATAAAGTTTGAAAGTTTGGCTTATCTGGTTTAGATTAAAGCATGAACCATATTTTTATAAAAAAATAACAAAAAAATGTTAACCTGAAAAACCTTGCATAAAATAAATAAATAATAATAAGTTTAAATTCATTCAGTGCTCACCCCTTTTTTACAGCTCCAAGTGCACACCACGTTTGAATCGCTTTGCGAAGCCGTACCCATAAAGTATCTGCCAAAGGAATATGGTGGTGAGAATAGTAGCATCGAGGAGATTGTTGCTAGAAGTGAGCAGTTAATTTTGGAATATCGCGAATATTTATTGGAAGAGAAGAATTATGGTGTTGATGAGAAGTTACGTGTGGGAGGCGGTTCAATTAATACCGGACCATTATTTGGTTTAGAAGGTACATTTCGAAAGCTGGATGTGGACTGAAAAAATAGCAAATAAGAAATTAGAGTTAAGAATATTATATTTGTTAGTGCTAAGAAAATTAGGCTTTCAGTGATAATAAATAAATAAGGAAATGAAAACTGTCTCGCCATGTGATTTATTTATTGTCATAGATACCAGAGTTGGGCAAAATTTATTCGAATGACGAATAACAAATGAATAAATTGTTTTTCTTGTTATTCGTAAATAATAAATAATTTTGTTTATTCAAAAAAAAATTATTCGAATGACGGATAAATTATTTTATTCGTTATTCGAATAATTATTATCTTCATTAATTATTCGAATAACGAATAAAATAATAATAAAACAAGTAATTTATGTGTATAGATATGTACATATATTTATGTATAAAATGATAACCGTTTTCGTTGTTGCGATTTAACTCAAACCCCTGGATAGATTTAAATTTCGGAGGTTATTCCATGCGCATAAAGTCCTATTAAAGGCTACTAGAAAAGTCCTTGGTGGCGATAGAGCCGAGTTATATATAAAAGCCGTATTTATGAACTTATTTCGTTCAAATTCAAAATGTGTTCTTCCTGCATGATGAAAAATACTTATGCGAAAAATGGACCCGCTAGGTGGCGCTGCAGTTGAGTTATTTAGAAAATCCCTATTTATTGTAAAATCAGGTTGCAATTCATAATGGTGCTGCAGTCGAAATCATTAGAAACCCCATATGTCTGGACTACTTTGTTTTTTATGTTTATATTATACGAATTTACGATGTCTCACGTCGTCATACACCCTAAATGCGACCTTGCATCTACCTCCGCTTGATGAAATTGCTCGGCCGTTGCTGCAGCAGTAAGACTCAAGGAAACCAGCTCTTGGATATTTTAAAAGTGGCGAATCAGCAAGGAATGTTTCGACCACATCCTTCCAAGAAAGACCACTGTTGGCATATCAATGGCCAAATTTTACATCGAGGATTTTTGGCTCTCCTATAATAGAAAACGCACATCTGTGCTCTTCAGCTTCCTTATAAGGACTTTTGTTGGCCTACATGACATAAGACTAGAGGTTGACGCATCGGACCAATGTTGTAGTTGCAAGATCATAGAAGAAGATTACGCACGCTTAGAAAAGATCTCACAAGTGGAAATAAGGCCATCGGTAAAGCTCATGCCATTGAAAGGAATTTTTTCTTGCATATAGCATCAGAGCGCTATTTTTTTGGCAGAAATATGTGTGAGAAGGGTTCTGCTCTTTAGTTGTTCAACCTAAATTAAGAATTTTTTACCTTACCCATATTTGGTTTTCAACGCTATTCATGCATTGGCCAACGCAAAAAATCTTATCAGGGGCCGCGAAACCAGAGGGAATGATAAAATAGTAAACAAATTTATACTGTCATGGCAGTTCGCCAATTGGTGACATAAAATATCTTTCGTATTCTTCTCGTATGAGTTTTGCTTGTGGTGGTATATATCGCAGCAAAGATTCCGCCATCGGACTTCAAGAAAAATTATAATTTAAATACAAATTAAATTAAAAGTTATCTTGCTTCCGAAAACAAGGATATTCATTTCGGTGTTTTTGGACACATAAGGAAGCAAAAAAGTAGATTATTAATAAACAGCCTAAATATTGTTGTGTATTGTTCACTTCAATTGCCGCACAAGAACACAATAAAAATTGCCGCAATTTTGAAATTTTCATTGCCTCATGATTGCCAATCGAGCTATCACACGATTGCCGCAAGTGGGTTGTATTTGATTGGGCATTGTAAGCACAATATCGGCCTCTATTGCCGCATGAGTCAATTTATTGTGAAATCACACGATTGGGGCATAAAATGAGGCAATAATTGGTGTATTGCGGCAATCGTGGGATCTCAGCTTTAGACTACAATTTAATGGGCTACAGAACTGCATACTCGAAAATTTTCTAGATCTTCTTATTAAAAATTTGAAAAAATTTTGATAGCAATTTTTTGAAGTTTGATTAATTTTTTTACATTTTTTGCAAGCTTTGAAATTTTTATTATTATAGTTTCTGTTAGATTTTGAATTATATTTTAAATTATATTTATGAAAATTATTAGAAATAAAAAAATAAACATAATTTGCAAACAATATCATTTTGAATTTCGTTTCTAATTAGTTGAACGCAGGTGTATGTATGTATGTACATGTGCATATGAAACATTTTGCACTTGGTGCATATTTTTTCAGTAATTCAGGCGCTTTCCTCTTCCTTGGTTAGGTCGCAACTTGTGGGGGACTGTAGGAGAGAGTTGGTTTCAGTTTTTTATCAATTTGAAGTTATTCTAATATAGGCCGCAACTTATAGGAACTAGCCTCACAGTATTCAAAAATAATAGACCATCATGCTAAGAATTATTAGATTTTTCTAATTTGACGGTATTATTACTTTACTTAGCTCAATTTTAAACAATCCATTTATCATTGTATTTGAATAATCCAATTTCAGAGTGCTACGACTGACGCTGTGATTTTCCTACTGGCATTCTGACCACATGCAATCAAATTTAATAAACTGTGTATGCACATGCTAAGTATTGCAATTGATCGTTGGTGTGGCGAATACAAACATAGATATCGCACTTTAATTCAAAAACAGTCATAACTAAAAAAAATTTCAAAATAGTTTTTTTCTCATAAAACAGTACACAGACCATATTTCTAACATACACTAAAATGTCTTCTTCTTTAACCGAAAACAAAAACCAATTAAGACTGTATTTGTTTTGCTCTTGTCGCTGGCGCAGCATCAACAGTTTTTGCCTCTACTGAACATTGGAATTTTTGAGTTGGTCTTATTTTTGATTAAGGTAGCGATATGTACAAGTACCTCTAAGCAAAATAAATGAACAAAGAGTATTGCATTTGTAATGCACACACACGTCAATATTTGTAATCGCGACAAATTTATCTGTGAGCCTTTAATGTACATAGTACATACTATATAGTATTTGTAATATGTAATCAAAAAACAATTCACTTGTAATTTTTCTGTACTCGAGAAATAATCAAATGGACAGTAGATGTAGCGGCAGCAGCATTTAAAACTATTTTTGTCGTAATCGAAGACGTGAAAAAAAGGAAATGGACACGCCCTCACTAAATATACGCCCACTAAAACCGGCGCTACAGCATAAGGCGATTGCCGAATTGAATGAAGTGCCCGAGCGTCTGGCCGTGGACATCGCTGCGTTCAGAGAAGGGTTGCTAAGGCAACCACATTTGAAGTGCCGCACGAGCGACCAATTTCTTGTAACTTTCCTGCGTGACTGCAAATTTAGTCTGGAGAAGGCGAAACAAAAATTGGACCTATACTATACTTTGCGTACGGCGATGCCCGATTTGAATCACCACAACTTTGTGGATGATCAAAGGCTGCGCGCCATTATACGTTTGGGGTAAGCGAAAATTTCATATCATTTACATACATACATATATTCGTTTAAATCACATACGATCTCCAGCGTTACGCTTTACTTGCCGCTACCGCTAATGGAGGATGGCCCATGTTTAGTGTTAATGCGCCCTGGCAAATACGACCCCAACAAATTCAATATGACTGAAATGTTGCGTGCAAGATTTATATTGCAAGATATCTTTTTGATAAGCAGTGATAATTTGATTGTTGGTGGTTTTATGCAAATCGGCGACTTTGAGGACTTCAGCATGGCGCACTTCTTTCAAATTAGTCCATCGCTTATGAAAAGATTTAGCTTGTATGTCGAAGAGGGCATGCCGGTGAGCATTAAAGGTTCACATTTCTTCAATACTGGCTCGGTATTTGAGAAAATGTTTGCCGCTATTAAATTGGTGATGCCAGCGAAAATGGTCGAAAGGGTGAGTTGAGGAGGCGAATGAAGACATAATTCATAAGAGGAAGCTTAAAAAATTCGTGGGTTGGAGAGACTGGAGAAGTCTTCCTTTTTTGCCTAGCACTACTTGGCAATTACATAAATAACTCTAAATACACTTCGGGGATTCTCAAGTGGTGTTAAGTCTTAGGCCGGTATTGCAAAATTTTGATGTGGCGTTGCATAAAATTTCCAATTATGAAAATCTGGCCCGCCGGGTAGACGCTGCCCAGCTGTGAATTAAGATCTTATCAATCTACTAGGACTTACTCGGTTTAAATATATATCTATTCAGTATACCAAATTCAAAAAATTTAAACTCGCTGCAAGACCATAAAAATTCTTAAATTTCGACTATTTTTGCAATACATTTACTATCCTAAAAAAAAACATGATTATCAAGGGGCGCCTCGTTCCATTTACGCCCCGGGCGTCTTTGCTTCTAAAGCCGGTCCTGATTCCTCGCTTCATTTTCGCGTTTTTTTTTTTTATAAAATAGAAAGCAATTATCTTTTCCTGCATATTTTTATTTTATAAAAAAAAAAAACAAAAAATAATAAACATGAAATAAGCTTAAGCGCAGTAGCCAAAACTTTTCAAAATGCCACTAACAGGGCAATTCTGGCAGTTAACTTTAGATGCGCATGTGGCCTGCAACTTCAGCAGGGCATCCAAGTTTAAATGAATGGAAAGAAAATATAAGTTTGATTGTTACAATGATTTTCCACGCTTTTCAGCATAAGACTATAAATAATACCTATTTCAATATATTCAGTACTTACCACCATTTCACAGCTCCGAGTGCACACCACGTTTGAATCGCTTTGCGAAGCCGTACCCATAAAATATCTGCCAAAGGAATATGGTGGTGAGAATAGTAGCATCGAGGAGATTGTTGCTAGAACTGAGCAGTTAATTTTGGAATATCGCGAATATTTATTGGAAGAGAAGAATTATGGTGTTGATGAGAAGCTGCGAGTGGGCGGCGGTGCATCTAATACCGCAGCATTATTGCGTTTGGAAGGTACATTTCGAAAGCTGGAAGTGGACTGAACAAATAGAAAATAAGAAATTCGAGTTAAGAATATGATATTTGTTTGTGCTAAAAAATTACTTAATTAATTTAATACTGTAAAAACTAATAAATGCAATAAATAAATATCAAAGTTAAGTATTTCTTCAGAATTTAAAATTTCGCAGAAATACATATAAATATGCTTTAAACTTGTACATTGAACCGTACC